GGGGGGGGGGCAGCCGGACGCACGGCCGGACGCACTGCCGGACGCACGGCCGGACGGCCGGCGGTGGCCCGAGAGAGCCGGAGAAACGGGCTGGCGTGTTTTTCCACGTCCAGCCATCATGCCCTCGGGGGTGTGGCTGCCCTGGGAGGTGTCTGCTGCGTGTTGTCCTCGGGCCCCAACTGCCGGTTGGCCAGCAGCCACCCACAGTTGGCGGGATTCGGCCGCGCCGGCCTTTTGCCGGCCTTCTCATCCAGACTCACTTTATTCGCTCCCCCCCGCCTCCCGCTGGCGCTTTCTTTTCCCTTCCTAGATGCGTCACACTCCCGGGACCGTGTATACCACCCCGGGCCGCCAGCTTGCGCAGCGATGCCCCGCCCACAACACGATTCACCCCGCCGCGGAGGACAGAGCCGTGCACGACCCGATCCTCCCCGAGGCCCGCCGGCGGACACCGCGCCAGATCCAGCCTTGCACGGTGTCACATAGACTCGCCGCCCCCCCCCCTGCCCCCCCTTCTACCCGCTCACATGCGAGGAGGCTTGTGCCCACCGCCGTCATGGGTTGGCGCGCAGGTGTGGAAAGAGGCTATGTTCCCCACTGTCGGTGGACTACCGCGTCAGGCATCGGTCGGAAGAGCACTCCCCACTCTCCGCCTCCCATCCGCCTTTCCCTCACCCCCCCCCCCCCCCCTCCCTCGTAAGCCCTGTCAGCCGGCAGTACCGCGTTCTCACGCTCACGCGTTACTGTTTCCTGGTCCTTCTGCCATAGTCTCTCCTCCTTCTCCGGACCTCCGTCGCCGCCATCACCGCCGCTACTGTTTCTGCTGCTGCTGTCGCCGTCGTCGTCGCCGCCGTCGCCGCCGCCGCCGCCGCCAGATCGCATCCACATCGTCGGAATATCACCCCCCCCCCCTGCCCTTCCTTTCCCCACGCCCCTCCTCGTCTCCATCCTCGCCGCTCATTGAGCTAGAGGTCCGTACATGCTTGCCCTCGGCCCTCCCTCCTTCTGCCGGCCTCCTGTCCCCGGCCATGTTGCTGACACCCATGCACCCCGCCCCCTATGTGCCGTGGCTCCGGCGAAATGTGGCGATAGCAGACCCCCGCGCCGTCGGAAAGCGGATAAAGGGAGACAGGCCGAGCCTAGACCCAGCATCTTTTTTTCGCCGGCCCCTCTCTCTCCCCCGTCATATGGTGCGAAGGAAGCCGCCCGGCGGCCGGGCCTCCCCACTTGGTCCTTCACACACACACACACACACACACAAAAAAGAGCCCGACAAAAACTAACCCCCCAGCCCGTGTGCCCCCCGGCCACAGAGAGAACCCGACATGTCGGCTCCTGGAAACCTCCCCGCCACCGGGGCACCCGACCCCACCGCGCGCCACTCGCCAGGCACCTCGCCCGAGGAGTCTGCCTCCGGCGAGGCCGCCTCGCAGGTCGGCATCCTCGCCTCGCAGAAGCCCCTGACCGTGGGATCGACCGAGGCCGGTCTAAGTGGCTCAAGCACCGCCACACCGCCCCGATCGGAGCCCGTGTCCCCCGGGCTCCTCGACGCCGCGACCCTGGCCACCAAGCTGCCTCCCTCGGTGATTGCCTCCTTCAGCATGATCCCCAAGGAGGACACCACCAACGGCACGGCCTCCTCGCCGCCCGCCCCGATCATCGACTCTGGCGGCCCTCTTTCCTCGGTGGCAGCCGTCGTGGCGGCCATGGCCGCGGCGTCTGCCGCCGCCCGCAATGCCATCCCACCGGCCGGCTGGTCCGGCGCCGATGTGGAAATGGGCGATGCCGAAGAGCGCACCTGCGCGGCCGAGTCCGGGTCTTCCTCCGCCCCCGCCGCCGCCGCCGCCGCCGCCGCCGCCGCCCCCGCGGTGGCCCCGGCTGCGTCCCCGCGCACGGCCGTGCCGCTGGACACCGATGAGCAGCTGGCCGAGTCCATCGAGGCCATCATGGCCCTCTCCTCGCCGACGATGCGTGTCACCCACTCGACGAATGACCACACCCCGAGTCGCAGTGCCCTTCCGTCACCATCGCTGCCTGCCACTTCCTCCGGCTCCCACCTGCCGGCGAACTTCCTCCTGACCGCGGAGTACCTGCGCACAGGCAAGCTTCTCCCTCCCCCGGGCCAGCAGCCCGAGAATGTGGCGCTGTCTCCGCCGCACCCCGAGGCGGAGCAATCTCACGGCCAGCAGCCCCAGCCCCAGCAGCCCCGGGACCACCAGAAGCCTCCGAGCCACCCGTCGCCTCCCGGCCAGCAGCCTCCCGGCCACAAGCCCCAGGACCCACAGACCGCGCATGGTGCTCTCAGCTTCCCCCTCCTTGCGGGCAATCGTGGCCTGCTGGTGACGGGTAGCTCTTCGAGCCTGTCCTCCCCGACATTGGACACCTCAATGTTGGAGGCCTCGGACCCGGTGAAGTCCCCCTCCCCGACACCGGCCGAGGAGGTCCTCCACGAGTCTGGCCCGAGCGTGGCCACCACCCCAAGCCACTCGGCGCCCGTGTCGAACAGCGGCTCGCCCACTTCCGGCTCCGACAAGCCCAAAATCCCCGAGGGGTCGCAATTCTGCGAGTGGCAGGGCTGTAATATGCTCTTCAATTCGACGGAGATGGTGCGCCATCATCGTCACCAGGGGGGGGGGGGGGGGGGGGGGGGCGGAGCAGCCATGCCCTCCCGCATGCCGCAGCTGCTGCTGCCCCCCTCCTCCGTGCCTCTGCTCCCCCATTTAGCCTCTGCCTTCCTTTTCCCCTCTGCCTCTCTCTCAGCCCTCCCACGTCTCCCTCTGGTGCTTCCTTCTGTTAACATGTCGTACCATGCTTTTGCCGCCAGCTGCGCCGCCACATCAGCACCGAGCACATCGGCACCGTGGCCGGCAAGAACCGGTGCCTCGTATGCAAGGTGCGCCGCCGACCACCGCCGACATCCCCCCCCCCCGCCCCCCCGCCCCCACCACCATCACGGGGGATGCAACCGCGCGCTCCCATGGCCGGCCCCCCTCCCCATTTTGCATCATCAAAATGCCGAAGCACTCACCTCCCTGCCGCCTTTCCTCGCCTCGAACACAATCTCCCCAGTGGAAGGGCTGCGACCGGCTCGGACGGCCGTTCAAGACTCGGAGCAATGCCGTCAGCCATGTTGACTGCCACATCGAGGGCAAGCCACACTCGTGTGATTTCTGCAACACCGCCTTCAAGCGCCACCCCGACCTGGTGAAGCACATCACGGTCATCCACAACCAGCAGCTGAAGAGCATCAAGAATGGCCAATTCACGCACGGCGACAAGCCCCTCTCGGCCACGGTCATGGGGCTCATTAGCAATGGCCACGGATCGGCCGATGCCGGGCCCGGTTCGGTGCGCGGCACCAAGCCGCCTCCCTCGACCTCCGGCAAGCATTCGCTCATGTACCACCCGGGCAGCGGTCTTCCGCAGATGACGCCGCTCTTCTTCGGCCCCGGCGGGACCCTTCCCCAGGGCGCCAGCTTCGCCATGTCCGAGGCATATCCCAACCCGAGCATGCAATTCCCCCTGCACGACCCGAGTGCCATGCTCAAGGGCATGCCCTTCTTTGGCGGCATGCCCGGCGGGTCGGGCACAGCCTCGACGCCCTTTGGCCAGACTCCCGTGTCGCCGGCCGACCAAGCCGGCGGTCTGGTCCTGCCGGCGGTCTATTCCTTGGCCCCCAGCGGAGGCCTGTCTTCTTCCACGGCCCAGCAGCAGCAGTCGCAGTCGCAGCCGCAGCCGCAGCCGCAGCCGCAGCACCACCAGCACCAGCAGTCCCAGTCGCAGCCGGACCCCTCGGCCCAGCAGTCGCAGTTCATCTCGCCGCAGCTCTTCCAGCAGGGAAGTTTGCAGCAATTTGCGGCGGCGGCGGCGGCGGCGGCGGCGGCAGCGGCAGCGTCCACGGCAGGGACCAGCGGTGCGCCTCCGGGCATCGGGCTTTTGACCGGTGGCGGCTCAGCCTCGACTGGCGCTTCGTCGGCCTCCTCTCCGACAGTGGCCCTCCCTCCGGGCGGGGCGATGGCCACCGGCTCGATGGCCGCCCAGCCATTGCCCTTTGGCCAGACCCCGGGCAATGGCCCGGCGGCGGCCATGCTTCAGTCACTGGTCGGCGGCGGCCCGATGGCCGGCGGCAATCCCGCGTGGCTCGTGGCCGCAGGTGGGTCCCTCTCGGCTCCGGGGGGTCTGGTGGCCATGGAATTCCCCCCGGGCGAGCTGCTCATCGGGAATGGCGGGGCTCTGACCGGGCTCGGCCCGGGTGGCGGGTGGATGGGATCGCCTGCGCTCGGGAACGCAAGTCCGCCCACCAGCCACAGTGGCATCTCCAACGCCGCTCAATTGGCCTTCCAACAGCAGCAGCAACAGCAGCAGCAGCAGCAGCAGCAGCAGCAACATGCTCAAGGCGGTGTCTCGATCTCACTTCCCTCTTCGCCGGCAGTTCCAGCCGCCGGCACGATGCAGGCCGCCCAGCAACAGCAGGCCCAGCTCCAGCAGCAATTCCAGCAGCTCCAGCAGCTTGGATTTGTCGGCGGCTCTCCCGGGCTCCAGGCGATGCCCTCGCGCCCGGGGATCTGGCAGGCCGACATTGGCACTTCGTCGAAGCAGCCCGGCGTTGACCTCTTTGCTCTGAGCTGTTTCAACTTCCAGCAGCAACAGCAACAACAGCAGCAACAACAGCAACAGCAGCAGCAACAGCAGCAGCAGCAGCAACAGCCCGCCACCGGCCCCGCCGCCGCAGGAACAACGGCAGCGGCCGCCTCGCCCTTCGGCGGCCTGGCCAGCGGCACCGGCACCCCGCCCGGCACCTTCGCCAGTGGCGGGACCGGGGGCAGCGCCACACGGCCGGCACTCCGTGCGGTCCTTTCCGACTCGGCTCTCGGGGCTGCTGCCTCAGCGAGCAGCAGCAACGAGTCGATTGTCGCCACACTGGAGACCCTGGACGCCGGGGCGCTGGAGGCTGGCAACATGACCACCATGCACCAGGGGATGCCTTCGCCGGTCGGCAGTGCTGGGAGTTCGTCGTCGGCGCAGCTCGGCTTGGCCGATGGTGCCGCATCGTCGACCCTGCTCGGGGCCGGCGGGGCGTCTGGCACCCTGTCCGGCGGCATGGGACTTGGATTCCCCCCGCCCTCGGCTCCGGCGGCCAGTGGCCATGCGCCGCACCAATCCTTCCAGCAGGCGCACCTGGCGACGGCCGTGCATCGGGCAAATGCATCCAGCCCCTTGGTCAGTCCGCTGTACACCGCCGGCCCCGGGGGCAGCGGGCTGACCTCTTCCAAGTCGGCCAGCTCCTCGCCGGCCACCATGAACCCGACCGCGGTGTCTGGCTTGCTGACGACCACCCCCTCGCCGGGGCCTGGCAGTGCGTCTGCGCACTTTGCCTCGCCCAGTGGCCACTTCGCCGGTGGCTCGGGCCCCAGCCCGGGCTCCTTCCATGGGGGGGCCCATCAGCATGCCGGCGGGCCGGGCTCCGGGCCTCATGGGATTTCCGCCACGACGGGGCGCTTTACTCGACGCTTCTCCCTCCCGAGCATGACCTCCAGCCATCAGGCGTCCTTCGGTGGTGGGGCGGGCGCCGGGGCGAGCGACCTGGCCCCCGGCGGGGCCGGGCCGCCGGCCGCCGGGCCTTCGCACCAGACCACGGTGGTTGCCAGTGCCGGGGTCGGTTCCACCATGACCAGCGCCGCGCGGTTGTCCAGTCACTCGCCAATCAACCGCAACCGGCGGGGCTCCTCCCCGGCACGCATGAGCCAGCTCCAGGCTGCCTCGAGCATTGCTCGACTGGAGGTCATCAGCGAGGCGGCCGCGGCGGCGGCTGCCCAATCCCAGCCGGCCGCTTCTCGCAGCCGACCGGGATCCTTCCTGGACATGCCCTTCTCGGGACTGATGATGTCCCCGACGCCGGGGTCGACCCCGTCGCCGGGGCCTGGGGCCTTCGGCAGCGTACCCGGGGGCCTCCTGTCAGCCTCATCGTCAAGCACTTCGTTGGCGGCGGGTTCCTCCTCCAGTGGGGCGGTTTCGCCGCTGGATGCCGGGGCGATGCAGGTGTCCGGGCCGTCAGCCAGCGGCAATGGGCTCTTCAGCCAGTCCTATGCTTCGGCACCCGGCAACGGCGGCTCCTTCGATGGCACCGTATCTTCAGAAGATGCAGCAGCCAAGAGCCTGCTCTTGGAGCAGCAGTCTGCGCTCCTTCGGTCGGATTTCATCCAGGCCCTCCTTCAGCAGCAGCAGCAGCAACAGCAACAGCAACAGCAACAGCAACAGCAGCAGCAGCAGCAACAGCAGCAGCAACAGCAACAGCAGCAGCAACAGCAACAGCAACAGCAGCAGCAGCAGCAGCAGCAGATGCAGCTGAATCTCCCACATGGACAGACTGCCATGGCTGGTGTGCAGCCCGAGGTGGCAACCATCCCCCTGCAGGCAATCCTGGAGCAGCTTCTGCCGAATCTATCTCCGGAACAAATGCGCGCCCTATCGCAAGCCCAGCTGCTGTCCGGACAGCGAGGCAATGTTGCCGCCACGCCGACAGCCAGCTCTGTTTCTGGACCCGATTCGCCGGCCCTTTCGACCAGTGTGTCTATGCTCTCGGTGTCCGGCCCACTGGCGGCGCAGCAGGCACCCCGGCCCCCACTGCCAGGCACCGGTGCACACCATTCCTTCGGGCTGATTTCTCTGATTGAGCCGTCGGCCGGTGCCAGCAACGGCAATCCCACTGCCAGTCTCCAACCCGGCTCCACAAGTGTCCCCAGTCAGGATGCGGATATGGTCGATTCCGCATCCGATGCCTCCTTCATCCTCCAGCAACAGGCGCAGCAGGCGCAGGTGCAGCAGCTCTGGCAGCTCCGACAGCAGCAGCAGCAGCAGCAGCAGCAGCAGCAGCAGCAGCAACAGCAGCAGCAGCAGCAGCAGCAGCAGCAGCCGCAGCAGCAGCCGCAGCCGCAGCCGCAGCAGGACCTATCGAGCAAGTCCACCCAGCCATCCGCCGTCAATATCTCCATTCCCTCACACATCCTGGATCTCAGTGAGGCCGATCTTCGCCAGTGCATCCAGGCTGCCTTTTCCTCGTCACAGAACGCCGGCTCGGCCGACCAGCCGGCTGCCGGCACCGTGGCCGGGGGGAGCATCTCCCGGGCGCAACTTGACCAGGTCCTCCGAACCGCCCAACTCCGGGCACAGCTCGCCAATGGCGGCCCGACCAGCCGCGCTCCTTCGCCAGGGATGGCCCCATCGGCCATCGACATGCCCCTCGCCACGGGGACCCGCAGCGTTTCCCATTCCCCGGGTGCTGAAATCGCCCTACAGCAGCAGCAGCAGCAGCAGCAGAAGCAGCTTCTTCGCCTCGAGACCAACGCCAGGGGCGGTGTTTCTTCTTCGGCGATGGAGGAGCTCCGTGGAACCAACGCCACGGCCACCAGCTCCGAGGCCGCAGGCGGCCTCGGTGACCTCGTGCACCTCGCGACCTGTAGTGGAATCCCCATGTAAACGATAGATGAAGCAACACGTGAGTGAATTGCCACACGTGTTACATCGTGGGAATGATAGCATCCCAGAACAGCATTCCTCGGAGAGGAATGCGGGGTAGAACAACAGCCAGGTGGCCGCCGAGGCCGAGCGGCATAAACGCTCGACCGAGGACGGAGATACGCGGGTGGGCGGGCCCAGCCGCGGGGTTCTCAGTTCCAACCCCTGACCGAGCCCAAAGGTCAAAAAGGGGGACTCTCGTTGAGAGCCTCCTGAGAGCGAAAGCCTTAGCAGCTGTGTGTCGAAGAGTATACGGAAGTATAGCCGAAGCACCAGTTAGGCCGACGAACACCTGTTCTAAGGCTTCCTCTCGAACCCTTTTTAACATCCGAGTTCCTTTCTATTTTCGCTTGCCACTAACTCGTCTCAAGCCGAGTTACT